ACAAAAAAAAAAAAAAAAAAAAGAAAAAGAAATAGAAAAGAACGAGTCGCATACCCTGTGCTTTTTGTAAAACAGTTTTTTCTGCCTCTTTTTGCTTTTTCTTCATTTCCTCTAAGAAATGCTTTCGTTGCAACCATCCGCGGATGTGACGTTGCAGTGTCACGATGGACACGGCGAACTGCCACTTCTGCTTCTTGAACCTGATCCTAGCGAGCCATCGGCGAACACACGCCTGAACCATAATGATCTTCTTCAGCTGCTCCTCGTACATCTTGGAGAGGAACTCGACGTGATAGTATTTTAAGAAAACCTTTGTTCTGCCCAATGCCCATCCGTCCATCTTCAAACGGACCAAAAGGAGGCGACAATTGTCGCGATTAGCCATGACACGTTCGTCGTAGCCGAATGCTAGGAAGCAATATCTGCAACGCGTCCGGAATTCTCCTTAGTGAAAAGTATTCAAAACACACGGACCAAGTAACTATATGTACGTGAGAAATTTGATCGATTCGAGCCGATTTAGTTTTGAAGCTGAGAAGCTGAGATACCTTTTTAGAAACTCGTTGAACGGTATTCTATGCGAGAATCCGTTTTGTCTGATCCTTATCGTCTCCAGGACTCCGGTGTATCTCAGTTGCTTCACGACTTTCTCTTTGTCAAAGAATCGTGGGCTCTTGGAGTCGTTCGGTTTTATGCATCGCACGAATTGCGGCGACCCGGACACCATCTTTTGCAGCAAATCCATCAGAGAATATCGGAAGTAAGTTGCCACGGTTTGTTGAGCTCTTGACTGTGACGCCAAACCTCGACTGGAATACCGTTCCTGGCGCAATTTACCAAATATTTGTTCAAATAAAATTTAAAACGACGTCTAACCTAATAAAATTTAAAACGACGTCTAAGTAAGATTATCGTTCTACGACGCAACGCGACGCGACGCGACGCGACGCACAGCTATTTTTCTTTCGGCTAACTAGCCAGGGTACCTTTGTATTCTGATTCGACTGTGACAACTTTTTCGAATCAGTGTCGTGAACAGCCGAGTACAAGTTGCCAGTTTTCGTGATCGGGCATTGGAACAGGAAACGGACCATGTCGTACTGAGATTGCCTGACCAGCTGGATGACTTCAGGAGGCAGGAAGTTCCTATTCTTTTCCAAGAAGCCTTCCGCTTGGTAAACCACACGTCCAGCGAAATGATGCACTGCGAAGCAAACTGCGTCCGATTTTGGTCTCACGTAGAACTTGGACTTGATGTTGTTGTGAAATTTCTCTGCAACGTACGTACTCTATTTAGAATCGTTCAATTCTACCTTTTTAGTTTGTCGTCTCGACCGAAAAACTAAAAACAAATATCTGAAGATTCGCACCAATCAGAGATTTATTGGTGGCTCTGGGAAATCGGCTTTCTTCGTCCAACAGAGCCAACAGCCCCATAGGTTTGCTGAGTAACATGTCTAGAACGGGCCTGTTGTCTGAGAACTCGACCAAATCGACCGGTATCCCTTCCGCCATGTACTCCTGTTGCTCCCAAGTGAAGATATGCTGATTGAAGTAATACTGTATCTGTTCGTTCGCAATGTTAATGCAGAGTTGCTCGAACGAGTTTCTCGGGAAATTTTCAAAGCCGAATATATCGAGAAGACCGATCGCCAGCGGTTCGTAGTTGGGCGAACGATTGAAACACAGCAAACAATTGATCTGATTGACCATCCAGTCGAACAATCGACCGTACAGTCCTTTCGCCATCGCGTCCCTGGCCGCGCACGCCTCGGCTACCGTGTTATTTCGCGTGATTGTCTCGCCCCTGGTCATCACCGAGTTCGATGTCAGTGCTTCCAGAAGATCATTTTCCTCCACACCGAGCAACTGTGAAACTGAAATGTATCGCCGAATTTATAAAAATCATTTTCTTCGAAAGAGCCAAGAATTTCGAAGGTAGCGAAAGGATGAGAGGAGAAGAAGAAGCAGAAGCAGAAGAAAAAGAAAAAAGAAAAAGAACGAGGAAAAGTTTGATAGTAAAGTCATTACGTACCTCTGTGCAATGGTGCCGCGTCAATCACGTGGCTTTTGTTATCGGTATTATCCTCGCTGGCTACTTCGCCAAACTCGATATCACCGAGATGAAGTATCGCGGCTAAAATCCGATATACTATGTCCACCTCGCTATCTTGAAATCCAAGTAGTTTGAAGCCGACCTTCAATTGTTGAAACTTGTCGATATGCGTTTGGGACGTCTGGCTGTGATCTGTCAGGTATCGGTGATGCTTCCGAAGATTTGGATCCAAGTGGAATTCCGAGAGACGGTTGTCAGCCTCCAGACCGTCGTACATGTAGTAAAATATGTGGAAATTACGTTCACCTCTGAGGGGAATCGACAAGTGATAAAAAGTTGTAGAAAGTGTTGTATGATTATTTTTTGAAATTGCATACGCGCATTATGTATGTAGATAATATAATAACTTACTCGGCTTGAGCTACGACCCGAGATTGTTCCAACAGGTAGACGTATATTCTGGCACCAGTGACTTTACCACCTTTGGTCATGGTCAAGTCTAGGTATTTCCCAAATCTCGATGAATTTGCGTTGATTCCGGTAGTCGCGTTGCCGAAAGCCTCCATTATCGGATTTATTTGAAGGATCCTCTCTTCCAAATTACGATTGGGAGCTTTGCTGAGATAAACCAACTGTTTCAGCAGCAAATTCGCACTTTCCGTTTTCCCTGCCCCCGATTCCCCGCTGATTACAATTGCTTGGTTTTGTCGCTGGTGTAACAGTGCTTGATAAGCAGCATCCGCTACGGCGAAAATGTGGGGCGGATTGTCCGATCTTGCTTGTCCTTTGTATCTCTTTTGTTCCTGCGCGAATAAGGTGAAATTTCTGAACGTTTCTCCGTTATTACACGAGAGATATTCATTCGTAATATTTTCATCAACATTAAATTAACAATACACATAGTACGTTAGATTCTACATATATAATCGTATTGATACATATAAATTGGATATGTATGTGTTATCTAATATGAAGTTTGCCTAACAAATGTGAGTGAAAATAGTTTCAATTGGTGGGATAGTAACGGATGCTGAAGCGTGAGCACTACTGTAGTAGGTTCATGGTACTTACGATGCCTGTATACAGTCCCAAATTTGTGAAGGGATTAACAGCGACGAGTATGTCTCCAATATAAGTATATATTTGAGCTTGTTCGTATCTGTGTTGCAACTGATCGACGATCCCGTCTTCCGACAACATGTCGAGAGCAGCCAGATCGTCCATGTACATTTTCTCTGGCCTTGCTTTCCGATCGGTCTTCAATTTCCCGTGTTTGGTCGTCACTTCGGGTTGCCTGTGAACTCTGCCATCGGCTCTCTGACGACGGATCTCCTCTTGCAGCTCGCATCTGACGTCCTCCGCGATCGACTCGATATTCATCAATAAAGGATGTTCCTTCAGCTCGCTGGCAAACGGTCTGTGCTCGAGATCTTTCACCAAACACTCCGTGATGAAGTCGACCAACTCCGGCGAATGGATATCCGGGTTTTTAAGGGACGGCGGTGGGTTTCTGGGGATTTGGAAGAGCGCCCTCATAGGGTGCAGTTCAGATAGAGGTGGGTCGCCTTCTGCCAGCTCGATTGTCGTGATTCCAACTGACCAAACGTCGCATCGGGAATCATAGGAAGAATCTAGTTGTTGCTCGCAAGCAATCACCTGTCGGTCGAATTTGCAAAGTTAACGTTACGTTGTACAAGTCGTTAAGACTAGACAAGGACTTCACTCTTTCGAGAGTGAAACGTTCGTGAACGTTTCGAAGAAGAAATTCAGAATTTTGGAATTTACCTCGGGCGCCATCCAGTAGGGTGTGCCAACCGAGGTATTTTTTCTGGCAAGGGTAGCAACCAGATGCGAAGACACGCCAAAGTCAACCAGCTTGACGCGTGCATCTTCAGCGAGCAAAATATTGTGTCCCTTAACGTCACGATGCATACAGTGATTGCTGTGCAAATAAATGAGCGCTTCCACTGTTTCTTTGAGGATGTAAGCTATCTGGTTGTCCGTTAGGCGCTTTCCCCTTTTCTTCAGGCCTTGGACAAGATCAGTCACCGAACCTCCGGTACACAACTACGGTCGAAATGTTTCGCGTTACAGTTTGATTGAATTTCGAGTCAAGCGTAAGTAAATAGCGTTCTATAAGATAACCGTTCGTCAATCTACCATCGATTTGTTGCGTTTGTATTACCAGGCAAAAGTTAGGCTCACGATACCTCCATGACGAACCACAGCTGGTCCTCCTCTTGAGCAGGTTTTGCCCTTTTCAAGAATAAACCATGAAAGAGGGGAATGTTCGGATGGTGGCTCAGGTCTCTCAACACCAGATACTCTTCCTCGATTTCCTCGATATTGTCCGCGACATTCTCCAAAATTTTGATCGCAACTTTGTTGCCGGTTTCGTTGCAATGTGCGCTGTAGACCTCGCCGTACGTCCCTTCGCCGATTAATTCCTCCAAGACGAAACGATCTTCAGGATCTGGTATCACGTCGAAATTGACGTGCTGGCTAAGACCGTGATACGCCATGTTGGTCCCTCCGCCGGTCATTTCTGAAATAGACGATTATATCAAATTCAGTGACAAGTATAGAATTGACTAATTTCTCATTATTAATAACGTAGTATCGTATTCTGCGTCATAGTTTCAAATGTAACGTCTTTATTAAAATGTAACTGTCTGGCTAAATATCATCATCATTATCTTCCCACTTGGCAAGAAGTTGTTTCCATCAGGATATAATCAACACGCGATAAATTAGAAATGATGTTGACAACATTTTACGTTACAAGTTATGCGTGTGAGGTATGGTGAACCAATTCTTTGTTCGAGTCTTGTAGAAAGTTGTGGTGAACCGCGAAGAGAAAAGTTGTCAAGCCGTCCAAGTATACGGAGCGATAAAAACTAAATCTTTTCACAGAGGAGGTGGATGAAACTCATTTCATGTTATAATGATACAGAGAAGACAAATAAACGAAAGAAAATAAAGCACGATCACACGGAAGATGCAGAAATGCACGTATGTATGTATACGGTGCATACGTCGTAATATGGGAAGATTGATTTTTACCGAAGCTGTAGAAAGTAAATAATATGTAACCATGCTCGCATATGTAGACGTATTAGAAGGAAAATTTATAGCCATTAGTCAGATTATATAACGTATCTTCTTACTGAAACCAACAACTCGGTCGTGCGAATGAAGCAACCAAAAAAAGTATCATTCGCTTGGACGCGTACACGAATCCGCGTTTCGAACTCGAAAATTGGACGAACAGAAAATTCGACGTCGAGACACCTACATTATATCGACGATTACGCAATTATTCTATTGTCTTACAGAGCAATCAAATTTCACTGAATCCGAAGCGCGAAACACTTTCTCTCGCTTGTCAAGTTTCAACACAACAATCGGTCGTCGAACTCCCAAATTTATCTCACGGATACATTATATTTACGTACATGTACATCTGTATATATACATATTTGTTTCACTGCACTTATCTACGACAATTAATACATTGTCGATGAAAATTTCTGGTTAGCTTATGGAATTCTTACTGACCAATTATATCACCCATTACGGTAGCCGTTATTCACGCTGGAAATTCTAAAAATCTGGATGCCTCATTTAAGATTGCAAACGATTAAACGACGCGCCAGTGATTATCGGACGGATCGCTTGTGTTCACTTGACCAGGTGTGAAATACGACTGCATCGTTCGCCTTCTAACCAAATACCTGTTAACTCCCTAACAGGATTAGGCTTGGCAAGACCGGCGCACTTTTGCTCGGTCTCAGAAATAGGTCTCGCAAGAAAATCATGCCACGTGTTCCTCTGTCACTTTGATTCGTCGATATTAATTCCATAATCACTTACGGACGTGCTTACGTGCCTGTGTTATGAATTTCATACGCATTGTGCATATCTCGCCTGAAAGTCACAGTAATTAATGTTATTCGATCGTCGAATACGTACTGTATTATAAATAGATAAGTAAATTTTATGACGTCGCTTCGTACCAATTGAAAGAATTATTACTTTTTTCATCGACACCGTCCGATTTGATTCAAACACCGTCAAACAATTTCCCAAAGGGTTTGGCTTACTTTCGTTTCCCAATTATTGCATGTTACGCGATATCGTTCTATGCGACAGGTTGAATTTGATTGTAATAATCAATCGACTGATATTGGACTGATATTGCTGTTTCTTTCTATATAAAATACCCAAGATGTGATAATAGGTTCCCTACGCCACTGGATGAAGCCACCCAAGGATCGAAGCCACTCGTGGTTTCAAATGACATTTTGTAACACGAAATTAAACAGGACATTTATAGAATCACGAGTGGCAGGTGTGTAATCAATGATACAATGATAGCCTGTAACGGAAAGTTGCGGAAGAAATTCAAGTTTGATCCAGAAGCCAGTGTAACTTGAAATATGCGTACATATTACATATGTATGTATGTATCCGTCGCATTTTGTATCGTTGGAAAATCGTATTTGATTAAACATTCGATAAATTCTATAAGAAAATTAACCCAGAGCAAACGCGAGATACGAGAGACGCGAGGTATTCTCGAATATGCGTATACGCTGAAAAGATATGCGTTTAGCAACAAATAAAAGTAAACGGGTAATTCGCAAGATTCGTGAAATATGTATAATTTTTTCGAGAAGAAAGAGCTAACGTACAATTAAAATTTCCATATTGCTTTGAAATGTAAATGCAAAAGTACGCAGATAATTTCATATTCTCGTAAGCGAGCATGCAAGTGTTCATTATCACGCAGGTCCATCCACAGTCACGTGGTTTAACCACGTACAGTATGAACTGTGTCAAATGTACTGATCTCTATTTATATTTTACGTGAAGTAACTTATTTTTTTTTTTCAAATAAATAAGTAATTACGTACTTTAAACACTGCCCAACTAAACGTGAATCCGTGCAAAGTTGTAAGAACCTATACATAGGTCTGCAAATATATCATAATTTACTTGTAATTTACTAACTTACTAACTCTTGAATTGTTTTCAAAATATACGTCAACCTTTTAAATAAAAATATGCTGCAAGTAGAGTAATTTAAATTTGAGAAAACTTGTATGTACTTCGTTGTCGACGTTTTGTCATTCGGTTTTTCGAAAGAAGGAAAACAGGTTAAACAGGGAAAGTAGGAAGAAAGAAACAGAGACATCGCTGTTTCACAAAATCTTTGGTCATCGATCAAATACAATTAAAGGCTCTTACAAAATAGCGATTTTTATTCTTTCTGGAGATATAGATAGATGGCACGTACACTTTTCAAACCACTTTTTTTTCAACGTTTCGAACTTTTTTTTCAATGTGTCCAAAAAAAGATCTCGACAAATAGCTGAATAGAGCAACCAATTATCGTCTCTTAATAAATCAGATTATAATGGGGATCTGTTCGACCTAGAACACGAGAATCCTGTCAATTTCACAGATGACTGATTCTTCTTGTGTGAAAATATCTTTCTGTTCCTGGCCCGTCTTTTATATTGCCCGTGTCATACTTCATTGTGCTTGGTCACGATCCCGTTGCCTTGATAAAACGAACGATTTGTCGTTGTATTCGATGGGTTCGATCACGGTGTCAATAGTAAACAATGATCGTTTGCCGTGAGAGAAATCACGTGGTACGATCGAGGGGTATTAGAGCGAAGAAACCCGACGTGAAATTGGCTTAAAGGCACCCGAACTGTAAAGTAATGTCTCTTGGAGCTGCGTCATGATGTCCGACTGCCTTGGACAATACTTGGCTGCACCTAATGTGGTGCATAAGCCGGCCAAGTCACGAACATCGTGGCTTCTCAGTTACAACCGTGTCATTGGCTACAAAAATTTCATTATTAACGATTATCGATGTCAATTGTGTTCCATTTCACGACGAAACGTTCCATCGTCTATCGCGTGGATATCTGCCGTAGATATTTACGACGCCACACTATGCTACGACAATGATGAATTTACGTTTAAAAAGATTGAATAGAACCCGAAGCGACATCTTGAAAGATAAGAATCATTGTATATCATACGCGCCATCTCCGCTAATTTGCTGTTAATCATAAAATTTTTTATTATTTTTTTACTCGTTTATAGACGCATTCCACACATTGGAACAATTTTTAGCAGAAAGCTCTGGAAAGCAAGATGATTCTCCAATCCTTTGAAATATGTATATATTGTTTCACTGCCCCCCCCCCCCCCCCCCGCCATGAAGTGTAGGAAACAGTACTGAATAATTAATTAGAAAAGAAATTAACAAACAGAGGAACTTGCTATTTTTGTACCAGCTGTTTAGTTAATATCGTGCGAATGATCGACTGGTGGATGAAGTGAAAGGTCAGAGGCTTTTCCAATCACAGATACCTACGCGCCGCGTCGCGCCGCGCCGCGATGTTCCGCTGTTTTAATCCCTTCAGCGTGACGGTGTAACGGTACAGTGCGTGCTATCAATGGTCACACTACTTCTGCGTAATGTTTAAACCGCGTACCGCTTCGAACAATACCACCGTGAACTAGATATCTGTGTTGTGATTGTTTCAAACTCAAGTCTCTTTTTAGAATTACACATTCCACGGTCACGTATAAACACACGATCATCGCATATTGCTCGAAAGAATCGTATTCCATCTGGTTTGAAAAGAAGAAACATTCTACGATATTTATCATCGTGGTTGATAACATTCAGCTCCTTACGATATACACGTTACGATAGTTCGATACGAGGCTACACAGCCGGTTGACACTCTTACGTAAAAAGCTGTATATTATCGATTCTCGTTTCTTTTTTCATCACACAATCTCACACTACTCTGTTGAGTAGAGAATAGGTATTCTCTCTGTGGTAATAATCAGGTAATTTCTAATGTTCGTTGCAGTTTTATGGTTGTAGAACAACAGTGTTTTACGTCAAGTTGTTACATTTTTTTCACAACACTCGTGAATGTTTGTCACACGTGAAATATTAGAAATCTGTATTTACAGAGATATTTAAATATATACGAACGACACGTTACCACAATAATCCATTGTATTATATACTAATAAATATACTAGTAAATGGTAAATTAAAAAAAAGTTGATTCGAATTTGTAGGACAAGTTAAAATAATGACGTGATTATTTATCATCTGGCTAAGCGACGGTGTGAAATTTCTTCGCAGCTGTTTAAAAGTCGATGTTCCCGCGAGGCAATTCGTGATCGACTTGTCTTTCCGCATAAAGCCATTTCCCATGTTCACGCGTGTAAAATTGGATCGTGCTGTTTCGAAATCGACATCGTACTGCGATACTGCAACAATTCTGCTAATCGCGAAATATTTGTTCCGACTGGTGATCGTCACGCGTCTCTCGTCCGACTAATTTTCTTCTGCTTTCTTCGATAACAAAAAATTTTTATTCTTGTTCCTTCTTCGATGTCGTCCGTGCCTCGCAAATAAGAACGCAAATGACTAAAAATCATGGCCGATGTGAATCGACAGAATGCGTCGCGTTTTCGTGCTTTGCTTTTGCAAAACAT